TCGGCTTGGTTTAACTTCGTATTGTTTTAGGAATAAGGTGTTTTATCCACGAAAGTGACCGCATTTCTTTGAAAAAAATTATCCTGAGAAGATGAGAAAATCAACCAGGCGTACATTCCTAACTTAGTCATGACTTGTTCTTTAAATTCTACTAGTTTTTCAATGTCTCGGCTATAAAAAAATTTCGACCTAGATCTCAGGTAATGGTGCTTGACCGTCGAGTTCTGGTTGAAAAACCAGGTCTGGAAATGGAATGACGCGACTTGTTGGGAAACCTAATAGTGTAATGTTTAGAAGAGGTCATGCATAAGTAGAGGGTACATCATTGATTGATTTCTCCCAAGGGAAGATAAAGTTAGAGATAGTTGTCGGTTTGGTCAATTTTGTCGGCTGGACCTCCCATTTCGCAGGCCTAAAATTTGAAAACCCTGGAACAGAGTGGAAGAGGAACATAGCATCTTGTAGAGCAGACAATTCTCTTTCGAATGGTATATGACTCGATGTAAAAGCATGGGGATTTAGATGAAAATTTTTTGGTTGAAAAAAAGCGACACTATTTATGAGACAACCTAATAGCATAGAGTCACGAAGGCCTCTGTTAATCTACTTCCTACTAGCACGGCTTGTGGAAGCCATCCATCTGGCCTTGCATTTCTGGTTTGCTATGGTGTGGCAATTTAATCTTCTTACTTCTGGATCCTTATCTGCCTATTCCATTGACTCTCTAAGATCAATGAGAATTTAAAGAAGACGTTTTAGAGACCCGCATGACGCCACTTTGAGACCAAACTCAGCTCACGTATGACATCCACTGGTCTTCAGCTCTGGTTTTAAGCAGCAAAGTTGCCCGGTGAAACCAAACGCTAGAAGTCATGTTTCCTAGGCAAAAAGTTTCCCAACACTTATAGCTTAGGTGTCACCTGTGTTGCATGTGCAACGGCCGTGTATTTGTGTTTTGCTCGGAATGTGACTTTTTGAACTCCTATACTGTCCTCACTCTTTACCGGTCTGAACCACGATCGCACAGCCTAGGCAATATATTTGTTTTACGTTTCAGAATATCATTCAAGCAGAAGCTGACGAACGCAAAAACTAACCCATTCAACAGCCGCCGTAAAATCTTCCGCACTCGAAGGCTGTACCACAGCCACGTTTTCACCCTGGCCTCTTCGAGTGCCAGGGTAAGATGGCTGCAATGCGCACGTTTCGGCGTATATCATAGCATGAGCTTCCAAGTCACAGTCGTAGACCTGGACAATAATTGTAATCATTAATGTAGTCATTAAGGTTTCCAAAAGCCAGAAATGAGCATATTACCATCTTTTGCATGTCAGCAGCTTCGGGGAACAACCTGCCGGTACTTTTTCTAACTTTCCCTAGAGCCATATTGGACCTGAATGAAAAAATCTTCCAAAGGCCAGTAAGCTGGTTCCTTTGGGTAGTAAGCCAGTACCTGCGAAAGTTGTGCATTTCAAGAAACAGCTCTCTGAAGTGATCTCTCATTCCTTCGTTATCCCGGCACATATTTTGGCTTCCTTAACACAGCAAAATCGAGCAGTTCATGCGATTCTAATGTTCACGTATACGCGTTCCTGATATTTTGCAACACACATATTATTGCAATTATGAGTTTATTGCAACAAAAAATAATCTCATCCTACTATATATCACTCGCTAAGTATG